TTGCATTGGGTAGGTCTTAAGTGAAGGAGATAAACTGGTTGGTTTATTCCTGAATTAACATCTCTTATAGTGGATTCTCTCCCTGGCTTGGTAGCCCCCAGAGTAGGTGTTGTTGCACACTGAACTGGGTAAACAATTGACTGTGTTCTTTACTGCTTTTGTATTTACTGTCATATAGTAAGTCAGATACGGTGTCATAACATTGGACGTGACATTGAGTATCTGCAGCCAGAATTTCAACCTCTGATTGACATCTTTGAGGGAATGCCCCAGATTTGGATGAACTCGGAGAGATCGACTCTCGACTTGATTGACCCAGATTGGATGAATTCTTCTAACTTCATCCTTGAAGGATACTCTGACTGTGAAGTACTGAGATGATTTCTATTGACATAAACACTGGTTAACGTGTTGCTGGATAAGTCATTTCTCTTGTGGCAGCTGACTCTCGCTTCAACAGGGTATTCAAGCCTCTCTTCTCTGACAAGATTGAGCTCTTTATTGATTGTTCATTGTGTAAACTTACTTAATGTTGATCAATTGTTTTGTATGCATAAGAATGATTATTATGAGAATGATAATTTTAATGCAACACATATGTAAGTCTTGAAGTTTGAAAAACTTTGAATGAAATGATGTTATGGCTCTGTCGTGAACGAGTCACTAGCTAGAGATCAACATTTGCAATTTCCCTTTTTTATGAAAGATAATACAAGCATATGATTCCAAGACAGATATTGGAACATACCTCTTAGGAGTCAGTTAAATGCTATCTCGGTGTAGCATGCTTTCGAATTGACCCATGCTTCAGTTAGAACTTTTATGGATTGTAACGTGGTCTGGTTCACGGTTTTAGAAAAAAGGATTTAAGGCTCAAAATTATTTGGTGCCCACCCATTCTCCATGATGTTCTCCATTCCTACGTTCAGTTGACCTGGTACAAGTATTCATCTCTCTAGAAGAGTTTGTGATGATTGAGGAACCACAGTGGTTTCTTTGAGACGACAGTCGCTAACTTCTGATTTTAGTGTCTGATCAGACAACTTTGTTCTTTGATTAGGATTTTCGTTGGTAATCCTTTTCTCGCCTTTTAGGATTTATTCAATTTCTTTCTTGCTTTCCCTAATTTTTTCCTAGACAAATTCTTTTGAATTTCAATTTGAAAGTCCAGCGGGATGCCCCAACTTTTGCCTAAGCGACTTGTTCTCAAGTTTCTACTTAGCGGGGATTGTTTGTTTTTTTATTCGTATTTTCACTTTGAACAAGTCGTTGATCTTTGCATTTTCTTTGATTTGTTGGAAGTGATCGTGACTGCCTGAGTCTTTAGTAGATGACAGATAGCCCTTATAGTACCGTCATTTGTTGACCTCCTGATGTGCGAGAGATACCTATTGGGATATAGTTAATAGATGCACGTTGTTGTTAGATGAGAGTTAACCATTGTGGTTTTGACTTTTCTCAACCTTTTGATGGATAATCATTGTTGTATCCTTGGATGCACACTCTTGATGAGTTCTGAATGCTTGATCAGATTAGCCGAACACTACCCGCCCCAGGGTTAAAATGGGTTTTTTCTGAACAGAAAAGAAACTCCTACTTTGAAGGGTCAAAGAGGTTAACGAGGGTCTATCTCCCTTATATCTCCAATGTTTAGGAATTGAAACAAGGCATGTACCTCGTCAGCAGGGTCTTACTCAAAAGCGTGCCAACCAGAGTTTTTGCGTTTTAGGTTATCGTCATCCTCCTTTGAATCTTTACCTAAGCATAAGACTAGGAAATTTGGCATCAATATGCAAGTAAAACATTTAAAGAGTGATAACAAATGGATGAATAAAAATGAAAGGAATACTTCAAGACACGCATACCTATTGCATTAAGATTTTCATTCAAAAACAGACAAATTTCTATATACAAGCAACGCTTAAACAAACAAGCAAGAATGCAAATGAAAATGCAGGAAAGAGAACCAATGGTTGCCATCGTTGAGGAGACTTGACTACGTATGGACTTGCTGATTTCGATGACTTTCTGTAGTCTTGATGCTTGAGTGTGCAAGATAATTCCCTTTTGATCCGATGTGAACATAGTAGTCTCCAAATTGAGCCTGTCTTGGACATTGTCTCTGGATGACATACCTTCTTCAATCGATTGGCCAGGTGCCCCAGTATAATATGCATATAAGGTTCTTTCAGGAGAACGAATGAATGATTTACCCAGTGAATTGGTATGAACTGCATCACCAAGTATATTATGTCTTAAAGAAATAATAGATATTATCATCAGAGTTTCCATGACCTGGCTTATCTGAGTCTTTAATCCATTATCTTCCTGCTTGAAGAAATTTATGACCACGGGCCAAAGCTTGCATGTACCACTCGGAGTTATTCCATAATTGATCTCTGGTGCATGTGCGGTGAGAAATCAAGTTGAACCTTTGAAGAGAACCCCAGGTCTGAATAAGAATCCCCAATCTTCGGGTACCTGTCATGAATGCATGAATATGCATGGGTGCATGAATGAATGCCATGTCATGTTCTGTCATTTCTAAGGAATTCACGTGCTTCGATTTTGATTTTATGCAAGTAAGAGATGGAAGAGTTTTAGCACAAGACTTGCAAATATGATTCCTTGGAAATAACAACACATGTATGTTAAGCATGTGGTTATCCATGTTATGTATGCAAAGGAATGAGATCAAAGAGGATCAAGGTTCCATCATTCATGAATATGATTGCTGCACGGTTCTGAACCATATGAGTATCATCATATCAAAGGTCCGACATAGCTTCCGTACATATAAGAACCGAGTATCATGTAGATCTAAGTAGCATGGGATCAAGGCTTCTGGAACATCAGATACTGTTGAGCATTTTCTTAATATTCTTGGAATACCAAGATCGAAGGCCCGAATGAATCTTCAGGTAAACAAGTCAGGAACTCAGAAAATAAATCTGAGAAACATACGGTCACCAACAGAATATAACATCTGAATAAAGTTATCAACAGAAATCCAGAACATAGCCATTAGAACCAATAGTCATTGTTTGAGCATAGTTACCATCTGAACACGAGTAACCATCTGCACATAGTCACCATCTGTACCTGTGATAGAAATTCCCTCCCCACTCACGGGTGAAAATTAGGTCAGGGTAAGACAATGGTAACTCGAAAATCACGGGTCCGCCTGAAAGTGCTATGGGCTTACCCACAGACGTGGGCGCCGATAGTAATTTATTTGAACCTCATCCGAGCATGGTATATGACATGAACGCACTAATCGGACCACGTCGTATATCCGTCATGCCCCCACTCTATTCCTAGGTGTCCTAGTGCACTCTGGCCTGGGTACTGAGCCTTTTACCTTAATAGTAACACCCACCAAACAAGAAGCAAATCCTGTACAGCAGTAGTATATGGAAAATAGTAAAATGCAATGCATACGTATGCTCAAGTATATACAAAATGAATTAATAAACTGAAAGCGTAAAAATAAACACCAAAATGAAAAGAAAGCAAGAGCTAGGAGCGACTCCGGGATGGACCAGCATTTGGTCGACCTATTCCCCAGTGAAGTCTCTAGCTGAAACAACCGGCTGAAAATCATCAAAACAATGAAGTCGCCATCAAACTTCTTTTATCCCACATGTAGGGAAAGGTAAACATCGAGAAAACCTGAGAAGGGAGAAGTCACGGTCTTGCGATCGAGAGATCGAAAAGGGAGTCTGTTACGCGAGGGGAATGTATTAGCACGCCACACGCCCATATGTTTTGTTTAAGGAATCAGAGCTACCGTAGTTCGGCTCATATGTTTTGTTTATTTGTGTTTTTTGTGGACGAAGTTAATTCCGCCTTCTTCCGCAGCTAGACATTTGGAGACTTATGCGTTGGCACAGAATTAAATTAATCATGTCTTTACCTGAAAAGGTTTTTAAAGAAAGGTGCTCGAACGCACAAATGGTTTGAGTTGGTTTGTATTTTGTTGTGGATAACGACTAGTTGACCTCAAGAGAGAGATATTAGTCGCTTTTCTACTTAGTCATGAAAGGAGTCTTTGAGAATTGAACCACACCTAAACTTGAAATGAAGAACAATAAGATCGAGAAGGGACCCGCTTATGATTTCCCATACTAAGCAAAGGCATGATTCTCATCAGTAGTTTTAAAATGTTTTGAATCTTGAAAGAAAAAGAAGTTTTTGTTTTAAATGCGAATGCAAACGGGGAAGAAAAGTCACAGGGAGACTAATCTGTTTCTAAACCTAATTTTATCATGCGTTGTTAGACCTAAAGTAAAGGATGAATGAAAGGGAAACATCTACCTAATGTTAGCATGCATAGCTTGCAGTAAAGCCCTGCTTCTCATGATTTTTAGAAAGCGGTAAAGTGCGAGAATGAAGAATAAAATAAATTCATGATGATACCGAACGAGGAAAGTCAATTTCCTCTTTAAAGCCATGCAAGCGATAAGAAAAATCTACAGAAACTGCTCCGCGCGAGTGATCAAAGAGTTAGCCTCCAAGCATTCCATATTGCAAAAGTTATATCAATATAATATCACAAAATCTTGGCTAAAAAATGATAACAAACAAGATTATTAAACATGAAAACAATAGAAAATTCTAATGAAAATTCTAAAGAGCGGTTCTAAAGAATTCTAAAATGTCCTAATACTTTTTGTATCATTTTATCACTAAAAAACTAAAAGAAAGTCTTAAATCTAACAATAGAGGAATCAGGGAGGTATAAAGTCAGGATGGGAGTGCTAATGATATGAGACACTAAGGCCCTGGGCGCTAGGCCCATGGTATTGATTCTATAAGACTTTTTTGTAACACTAGCACAAAAATAATGAAAATGGGCCCAGAAAGTGGTTTGGCTCAATGTCCATCAACAACAATCCATAGCTTATTTTTTTATTTTTTTTTGTTCAAATCTATATCCATCAATATGAAGATTCGTGAGCTTGTAGACAAAGAAAAAACGAGCAAAATTTGATATTAATCTAGTTAACCTTGACGTTAATGACATTGTTCCTTTCTTGTTCCTTCATCTTAGGCACAATAACCTTGAGCACGCCATTTTTCATCTCAGCTTTAATCTCATCATTCTTGTAAAGCTTATCCGGTAAATCAATTCTGCTAGAGAATCGACGACCACTTTCCTGACTTTCTTGACCACTTTCTTCACCTTTAATAATAACAGTGTTATGTTCCACAGAGATCTTCACAGCATCCTTACCGAGTCCAGGCATATCCAAACGAAGAAGTAGAGCATCCTCTGTCTTTCTCGCATCCCATTCACGTCACGAAGCAGCAGAAAGGATCGGATTGTCCGTCAGTAAATCCACCATGTTTAGGACTTGACTTAAGCTCTGTGGTGGAGAAAACAAATCGAACACATCTGAGAGAAGAAGATCATTGCGGCGTGTACAAGGGAAAGCGCGGCGATCGACATCAACGTTACAGTCATCAGAGTGTTAATCATAGTTGCACATGGCGTTGGTGTACAAAGAGGCGACGGGGCGAAGGAGAGATCTTAAAAGAAGGGCGGAGGAGAGAGATCGCTTGACTGCAAGAGAGGAAGCCATCGGGATTGCGAGAAAAGATTGTTCAAGAAATCGCTTGATTTGCTCATCACCGTCTTTTCTCACCCCTCAGGTTGGATTTCGATTCCCCATTTGTGTTCCGTGTTAATTGTTGATATACTGTTCTTGCAATTAATTGATGATTGAAGTCGTTGCTGCCTTGTAGATGACTCGTTGCGTCGAAGACATTGATGAACATATACTTGATGATTGAATGATGGTGATGATACAAGAAGATGAAGATTGAAGGTGGTTGTGTTTGCTTATGTAGTTTTGTTGATGTTGTTATTGTAAATCAGGAAATTTACAGAAGAATGGATGCAATTTGAAGATGATGACGAGCGGCTTGCAAAAGTGAATGGAAAAGATGTGCGCTGTGAGAGAAATGAAGAGCTCTGAGTTTCATGTCATTCTTCAGAGATTCTTTGAAATTATTTTTTGATGGTGAGTTCTTGGATCTTTTGTCCTGTGATTTTCTCGGTGAAAGTATTGACTCAAATCCTTCCCTTCTGTTTTATGGTTTGCTCTCTTCTGTTTTTCTTTCGCTCACTCTGTGATTTCGAGTTTCAGATCTCTAAGCTTCCCGATACATGTGCAGATTGGTGCGGTTGTTGCGTTTAAGAAACACTGAGAACGATTTCCAAGTTGTTCAGAGATCATGATGTGTGATGATGATGATTGATGATGTGCGAAGGTTGATGCTGCAGACTGCTGATGAAGGTCATGAACGCTTGAAGTTGATTCGAGGGTGAAGATAGGTAATGGTGATGATGACTCATGTTCCCGAGTCAGAGAGGAAGAGGGCAAATCTTATGGTGAGTTTCTTTGGTGAGTTTCTGTGGTTTTTGTGAAAATTAAATAATGAATGCAGAAAAAGAGAGAGAGAGAGAGAGAGAGAGAGAGAGAGAGAGAGAGAGAGAGAGAGAGAGAGAGAGAGAGAGAGAGAGAGAGAGAGAGAGAGAGAGAGAGCAGAGTAAGGGTGAAGAAGGAAGTCCAGAAGTGAAAGTGGAGGTTATGGTGTGGGAGAGAAAATCCAGAATATCGACTGAATCAAGGTGAGCCAATTTTTTATATCCTGTTAGTTATGTGGAGGTTGGTTGCAAATATACTATGGGTTGGTTATAGGCTTAGGTATGTTAGGTAGTTATAAACGGTTGAGGAATGGGAAAAAATGGTTAGGAGGTTGTTATTCTGTTTGACAGTTAGTTGGTTTGTTATTCTGTTTGATAGTTAGTTGGAGTTAGGAAATGGTTTTGTTGTTTGTAAATCTGTTATGGGCTTTTGCTAATGTAGTTTCTATTAGTGATTACAGGTTGGAAAGTAGTTTAAAAAAAGCTAGAATTCGGTTAGGACAGTTACGGGTCTGTTATGGAATTGGGTAAGAGTGTAGTGTATGTGTTATGAATGTGATAAATTGGTTTGATTTAAGTACATAACACTTGGTGTAATTGCTGATTTTTGTACTTCAAATTAAATTAACTTGATTATACATTGGCACTGAACTTGCTTGGAAAATGGTCGTTTATGCAGGTTTTCTTTTGGCATGAAGCATGGACTAAGGCTTGGATATAACCAAGTTGGAATAAAGCAATCTTAGAAGATAATGGCTTGAAGATGAATAAGTTTAGAAATGAATGATGGAGACCTCGATTTAGAATTCTTTAGCTTTAGACCACTTGAAGGTTTAATGTAAATTCTTGTTTTAATATAGTAATCTTGGATGTAAATGGCCTTTGTAATCTTCTCTTGTAATGCTCCAATGACACAGCTTGTAAATTGCATGGTTATGACCTCGAATGAACGAGAATGAATTTGGATAACCCTTTGACAAATCACGCGTAATGCTTAGAACTTGTAAAAATCATATCATCGAATGAACGTGAACCCTTGGATCTTGATGATTTTTGATGAACAAAACTAATTGATTAACCTTGAATGATGTTATGACTTATGATTCTTTGCAAATTTATAACTTTCCCACCAAGAGAACGACATGAACGAATCTTCCAACCTTATCTTGAATAAACCATTGCCAAATCATGAAATTGAAACCTTGAGCTAATATCAATCTTGAGCCTAATTAGAAGTTTCAACGAATCAAATTTAATAATCATCAGTAATCCAAGTTACTTGCGATTGAGGTAACAAGTATTCGAAAGAACGATGAAGTTGCGAACTCAATGAACTTACAACTTCATGCTATATACACGGCTTGCATTTTACAATCCAATCCACACTATATCTTGACTTCATGGACAACAACAATGTCTTGAGGGTGCTTTGAAGTATAGAAAGAAACGTAATATGAAGCCCAATGAACCTCAGTCGATAGATACTACAAATTCGAACATAGAAGATGTGACACCCTAATCAACTTGTGTTTGATGAATTCTTAATGGAGGATGACCTTGTAGTTTGATGAAGAAAAGATCCACAACATCCATGAACACAAAGTCCTAATTCCGCAATTTCACTGCCTTGAAAAATAACCAGAAGAATCAGGCTCTATTTGAACATATACACCTTAGCCAGTTGATAAAACCCTAATCCTGATGGTTCTCGACCCCTTTCGAAGTTATGTTGTTAGAGAATGTATGCAATGTTAAATGACCTAATGGAGATATGTACATGAGAAAAGCGCGATAATGCATAAACCAGATAAAAGTAGAATGGTAGGACAAATTTGGGGTGTTACAAGTACTTGCTCAAACCTGAAATTTTCACACTTACACACTTTTCAAAAACCATTTTCAAAAACGTTTTATCACACTCTTGAGGACTGATACAAGAGTTACCATAAAGTAAACAAAAATCTTTTAAAACACACAAACACAAACAGTTTTAAAAAATGAGCAAGTACCTAAGAGCCTGTGGAAAACCACGGATGGAAAGGGTGCTAACACCTTCCCTTTCCATAATCTCCCCCCCTTACTCAGAATATCTCGAAAAAGGGTCTTTTTCTGTTCTTTTCACCCTGTCCTTTGTTGGATAAAAGAAAAGTCGGTGGTGACTCTTGCTTACCGCGACATTTGCATGCCACCGTATTATAGAACCGACGACTCATCATTTTGCTTCTTTGTCTGTTTATTTGCTTTACTTTTAAGGGTATTGTTTAGGTTACTATAGATCCTACACCCGGATCTGGGAAAACCTTTTAGCTAAGTAGCAATAGATCATGGAAACTATGCGGGGTATACCGACACGGTTGAAACGATGGCTACATTGATGCGACAATTTGGTTGGTACCGTTAGCCCTTGAGTTAATCAAGGAGAATACGAGGCCGCTGTGTGGTGTCATGAAGCGTCAACTGACTTTAGAACCTTTAATTGAACAACTTGGCCATTAGGACGTAGTGAGATGGTCGTCTTTGGTGTATTACCAAAGTCGGCAGATACTCGATGCTACACTCATTGAGATTTGACTCCCGAGTTTTGTTTGGTTGCAAGTCAGTTTCCTATCGAACAAAACTTACGGGAAAGATCAGTGATATCGAGATCCCATAGAACTATTTATAGGACAGGTTGAACCAATCCAACTTCAAGAGGGTATTACCTTAAAACCCATGCAAGCCTTAAACCTAAGGTCTTGGTGCGATTTGCTTGTGCTTGCTATATATGTGATTTCTTAGCATAATCATGACATCATAACATGGCATATCATACTAACAATTTCAAGGATTTTCTATGGCTTATCTTTGTCTTGTTTTGTAGGACATGACATCCGCTCGCAGGAACACTATCCAAATCAACCTTGTGAAAGTACATCCTCAACTCAAGGAATTAGCATCAAGGATTCCTGAAAGCTCTCCCTTCACTGAAAAACATGGTCGACTTCTCAACTTGGTCACTTCAAACCCTGATGAAGAAATGTTAAAGGTGCTCTTTCAATTCTTTGACCCATTGCACCACGGCTTCACTTTTCCTGATTATTAGTTAGTGCCTAATATGGAGGAGTTTTCTCAATTATTGGGGTTACCTATCCTTAATCAGTTACCATTCAATGGTATGGAAAGACACCCAAATCCTGAAGAGATTTCTCAAGCTCTGTCTCTACAACGGTCTGATGTAATGGCAAATTGGGAAACTAGAAGAAGTGTCCAAGGATTTCCAGCTAAGTTTTTGTTTGAGAAAGCTCACTATTTTTGGGATAACCTGTATTTGCAAGCTTTTTAAGAGGTGTTGGCCCTTCTCATCTATGGGATGGTACTATTCCCTAACATGGACCAACTCATAGGTGTGAATGCGGTTAATATTTTTTTGTCTCATAATCCGGTACCTACCTTACTTGGGATATTCTACACTTTCTGCATACTCGCACTCTAAAGAGAATAGGGACCCTTCTGTGTTGCACTCCTCTTTTGGCTAGGTAGTTTATTTAACACCTACCCCGGTTTATTTTGAGAAATGATCAGGGTATGAGATGGCCTCATAGGCTGATGTCCCTTACACATTCAAATATTCATTGGTGTTCGCGATCCTCAGAGAATGTTATCATCATTGATCACTATGGGGAATTCCCTAATGTACCTCTCTTAGGCATTAGGGGAGGAATCACTTATAATCCTTGTTTAGTGTTGCGACAATTTGGTTATGCTAGAAGGGATGGTCCTCATGACACGCTTGTCCAAGGAATCACGTTTGACTATGAGAATGATGTTCAGGGTTATCGTAAGAGGTTCATTCGAGCTTGGGGCATGATAAACAGAGTTGATAGCAAGACACTGGGTCACAAGAATTCCATCCCTCTCAAGCCTTACCTCAAATGGGTGTGAGCTCGTGCTCAATGTCTTATGATGTTTTACCCCTCCATCTTACCTGTGGTTGTGGAGCCAATTGCTGAAGGAGACACTCCTTACGTTATTATTCATCCTAATATGTCAACTAATTTTGAGGAGCTACGGAAATCCTAGATGCAACTCAAAGAAGAACTGGATACCTTTGAAACCCAATTCTACACCAGCAAGAAGAAGGTTTTAGAGCTCACCCGATTACTTCACGAGGAG